ATCATAAACTGGAAAAGATGGAAAATACTCGAATATCGTAATACATATAGGACTCACAGCACTTTTATTTCAATAAGCGACAACAAATTTCCATGAAAAATGTAATTTACAAATAAGGGAACTGAAATTAGAAAATTTTAAAACCAAAGTTACGGTAATTACCTATATACTTACGTAAATTGCGAGAGGATACGCCGACACTCCTTCATACACACTATTCGAGTACTGCGAGCGAAGTCTAAAAGCTTAAAAATACTTCTAGTAAGTATAACTTATTTCAAAAAATTTCCGAGGTTTTATTTGATGTTATTCAGGCCTCAGGGACAAGAAAGGCTCGTACATGCAAGAATTTGCTGTTTTGATAATGGTCCGTGAGACATTTTATGAATCGTAAATAGTCACCCTGTTTGTGAAGAATACTGCAACATCTGCATTTGTTGCTTAATTAACTGTCTGTCAAGTGGCATGAAAGTTTGCTTGAGACAAAGGCAACCCGCAGTGTTTGAACGAATGAGAAATCTATCTTGCACAAATGCGATGCTAGTATACAAATTGGTTTTCACTCTCTTAAAGAGGTTATTTGTAAAACTTGACCTGTTTTGTAATTGTATTCTTGGTATAGTATAACGGTTTGGTATCCGCAACTCGATGAGTAGGAGCCCATTTTGGGTGTCAAATTGTAGTCATATAACGAGTTTTGTTATTTAATAGGGCGCATTTACACGAGGTCGACAGATCGCTTTCGCTTTCGCGACCCAGCGTAAACACTAGGTCGTTGGGTGATCGTAGTTGACCGAGTCGACTAGGTGTAATCACTGTCGGTATTCGGCTCGGTATATCAACGCATGAATAGCGCCGCACTATAAATAAGTGCACAATTGACCTCCATCTCACCTGATGGAAAGTGATAGTGAGGACGACGATGCAGTACCCAAGGAGCACACTTTATAGCCTTAAAACTGTTATATCTATAAATAGTCTTAATATGGTATTGATGTAGATAATAGTTCTCTATAAATGGTTTTAGAAAAAAGAAATTGTTCTTAAACACTTATTTCACTCAAGTCAAAATTTTAACACCTTCTTAATATCAAACAACTTAATTAAGTGTACAAATTGTTCTACACACATCCAGTAAAGTCTATTAATACTCTAAAAACTAGTGTTTTTAAGTTAATTCAAGATATATTCAATTTATAGACATTCTGTAGTGTTTGTACTTATTGACAAACATGTTATAGCGCGTCTTCAGTAGATTTTATTTTAAAAAATACTACAATTAGGGTTTTTTCTCTATTGGACGTTGTAAGAGTTCATGCAAAATGGATAAAGTAAAGAATATTAAAAAATCTAGTGGAGGTGGTGAACCTTGGATATTAAGTCACATCATTCGATACAATCAGCATTGCCAATGCCAATTGTTCAAAATCTCCAAAAATCTTTAATCTTCAAATTTGGGGAGAGCAAATTTCATGTTCCCCACAAATTCCCCGCATCTCGAATTTTCATTATTTATTAGAAATACATCGCTTAAAAATGGAATAAATAATTAAGAAACTCAAAATGAAATAATCTATTACGTTTGCTGTAAATGTAAACAGAATGTAAAATGTAAAACTAACTATAAAATTAGATGACCTTAAATCGTTTATTTATTTTAATAATAATAATAATACCGTACACACTCAACATAGCCCCGCACTAGAGAAACCCTGTGTCGAGGGTGCCATGGACACACACGTAGACAACCACAAATTACACCCAAACTCACGAGAAAAATAAATGTAGGCCATAAAAATATTTCTCTCGACCCGGGAATCGAACCTGGGACCTCTGCGTGGCAGTCCGGCATGGTAACCGTTTGACCACGGAGGCAGTTATATTAATTAGATTCAACATTAATCTGTAATCAGTCTGAACAAAAAAACAATTTTCTTTGCCTTACAAAATGAAGTAAATTGATTATTTGTTGTGCATTTGGTGACACTATGTTAACGTTAGAAATAATAAATGAGTTTCGACCTATATTTAATATTTAAAGTTGACGTGTGGTAAGTTGTGGTGTGGAAGTACCAACTGCTCGGCTTTGTTTATCAATAGCTGATTTCGTTTTGCTTCATACCGGGGAGCGGCCTAAGCGGGAGAAAGAATCGCGAACTCAACACGCACCGACTGGTAATTTTACAATTCAGAACCAAGTGCTCTAATAATAATTCTATTTAAGCTGCTTTTTAATAATACGAGGGATGTGCGATGTTGAAAAACACGTCGATATAGTCCATCACAGTGTTTCTAACAGTAACGAACCAACTAGCGATGGATCAGCAATTGATAGATTAAACGATAAAATGTTAGAATCCCCACATTTTCCTCACTTATCGCCAATCCCCACAAAATCCCCAATCTAGTTGAAACTCCCCATAATTTGGGGAATTTCCCACAAATTGGCAACGCTGGATACAATAGTCGTAATTCGCGCTCGGGCCGGTCATGGCCACGGCCACGGTCGGTCATTTGTTTGTTGACAAATAAATAAACAATGTGAAGTAAAACCGTGTTGTGAAATGATAAAAACAATTCAAATGAGCGCGTAAACTACTGTACTTTAATGTTGTGTATGTGTATTGTGCCATCTATGAATAGAATACAGTGAAATCATTGTGTGAAATGTGGTTGGCGTGAAGAAATAACCTCAACATTGTAATGAAAATTTTATTTCCTCCAACATAAGTTAGGTATGTCATTAAAATATTCCTTATATTCATATGTTAGGGAATTTATCCACCTTTCTAGTCATATATAACACATTCCATATAATTATACAGAATAACGTTTTTTGCGACAAATTGGATTTTTAAAATTATTTTTTGACCTAGTGTTTTGAAAAGTTTTTTATTACATAATACGGTCACTATTTCCTATAACTTTATAAAGGTTTTGTAATACTGTCAAAAGAAAAAATCGCTTAGAAACATTGCGTTTTGTAGACAATCATAAAAACTTCATAGGAGTGAAAGTTCTTCTACAAGATCAACTACACTAAAGCAAGTAAACATAATCTTTTCGTATTCTAAAGTTTTTCTATAGATAAAGCTATAGACAAAATGCTTCCAACTGTGTTTTGAAAAAAATTTCTTTTCTTTTTAAAAAGTAAATCTAAGTTGAAATTAGCTTGAAGAAGCCTAGAACTTCTTGGAAATTTTTTGTTTTGTGAGTTATTTTGTATATTTAAGCTTTCTATAAATATTTAAAACCGAAAATCGATAACTGTATTTTTATTAAGTTTATATTTTATACATAAATATTTAAAATTTAGCGAACACGTTACTTGTATGGCAGGTTTTACATCACTTTTCACAATGTATTTAAAGTCGTACGTCAATTTGTCCTTTCTAACCGATTAAACATTGCGCGATAAAGTCAGAAATATTATACCTAGTTTCGCCATGTTGCAATTTTGATAGTTTATATTTTGTAAGCCATTAAACTTGAAATCTATTAGTATTAAGAGAATGGCGTTTTATGTTTGTAACGCTTCAGTATTTTGGTTTTAAAATAGCATTACTAAGAAAACTATCATATACTATAAATTATCTAAAAACTATCTACAAGACTAAATAAAAACTGTCTACATCCTACAAATGGTCTTGAAGCATTCTAGAAGGGTTACTTGAGAAAAAAGATCAGAATAATCTTAACACTACCTACAGATAGTTTCTCAAAGCACTCTTGTGATCTAATAAAGTTCTGCCCACTTTTACTTTAAATTATCTAGAAACCTTCTTCGAGATATCTTGAGGGAATTTGAACTCTCAAAATACTCAATCGAATTAAATTCTATTAGATATCTTATAGTATATATTTAGATATGGGTGTGCTGCTTGGGTATGCATACTAAATAATACATACTCACTTTCGACTTGAAAACGCCCAAGTTATACCGTTCAGGGAACTACGTCGTCATTTACCACTGAATGAGAATATAGTCAAACTAACCTACCTATAACCATAAAAAATAAAGTAATAAGCATCCACCAAATTCAAAGTTCCATGACTGGACATACTTTTGCATATCCCAAGAATGGCCTCTCAGTCTTAATACTTATGTCCTCCAGCGTTGATTGCTTCAAACAAGACCTTCGATTTTTAGGAGTCCTTTTTCAGATATCAAGTTTACCTATGGTTTATCGGATAATTTCGTAGAACTTGTCCTTGTTATGCATGTCGACTCCATAGCCGTTCGCTATGTAAATGTGAATATAAATGTGATAATTCGTGTGCATCCTTGGAATATCCAAAATGTATAGGTGGAATTAACTTGCCAGCCTTTATCAGCCTTTGTCTTGTCCCTTAATCATGGTAAGGGGAAGGAGAAATTAAATCATGCAATTCAATCACTTACTTTCCGTGCCGAAAAGGCGGCACTCGACTCGGTGTAAGCAGCAAGTAGACTGCGCTTACTTCGGCAAGGCGACGTAGTCTGCCTGGGCGGATGTCGGTCTCTTTTTTATTTAGGAAAACATACAGTCTTAAACAAATCTTACAAAAAATACATTAAATTACTAACAGACCAGATTGTTCTATTAAATAATTACAAATACTACGGTTGTGTGTAAACAGGCCATTACTCATGCAAAACAAACAAATCTGCTATTACAAGCTAATGACTTATTAAAAATAATAACCTATAGGGAGGTGTCAACATCCGATAATAAATTTGAAGACTGTGGTCAACTGTGGTGTCACGCCAGATACTTAACCTGAACCAAAGGTGTCGATTAAGCTTATATTTATTAACGAACCAGGGTTTCCTTCCTTCCTATCCTTGCTAATTAATTATACACGATGTTTTTAATTTATAACGGCTTTCGTTACCAGCAGATAAAAATACGTTTTATTACTTTACAATCTCCTCGGCAACTAGTTTTTTTTTCATAGAGCTTAATCATAATTTTTCTCTTTTGACTTTTCTGAGTAGTTATGTGATGTCATGATGTCATGGCCTTTCAAAAATTCGCAAGTGTTTGTATATTTATAAACAAAAAAAAAATTGTATAAGTAAACGAAAGTATTTATTATAATTTCTCAAGTAAATTGTGTTAAATTTTAGTGTGTAAAAACAGAAAATGACGGCATTAGACGACTTGCCTCTTGTGAATTCCTTCATTGGTCTCGATTTGAAAACGGGATCATTTGTAATCGCTGCTATTGGTATTGTGAGTTCACGTTTTTAATTTAAATAAATAAATATAAGAAAACAATGTAGACAGTCTCAGGAACTATGAGTTTTTTGGGTAGATTTTAATGTTTTGACTGACCGCCACTCAAGCAGAGGATCATTGATTCGTTCATATCTGGGCTTGCACCTCTTTCTCAGAATTTAAGTGTGAAATTTGATTTGACATTTAGTACGTGCTTTTCGGTGAAGGAAAACATCGTCAGTAAACCTGCACACATCTGTAAAGCAATTTAATGCCTCCGTGTCCGAACAGTTACCATGCCACGCAGAGGTCCCAGGTTCGATTCCCGGGCTGAGAGAAATATTTGTATGGCCTACGTTTATTTCTCTCGTGAGTTTGGGTGTAATTTGTGGTTGTCTAATTGTGTTTCAATGGCACCTGCGACAAAGGGTTTCCCTAGTGTAGCCCTACACTGAAAAAAAAAGAGAAACCCTAGCCCTATACTACATTCAGGGTGTGAGTTATTATTATTACAATGATGTGTGTGAAGTTCCCAATTGGCATTGGGCTTGCGTGGGAGCTACAGCCGAAGCCCTCTCATTTTGAGAGGAGACCTATGCCCAGCAGTGAGACTATACCTACAAACATCACGCCAACATAACCTTTTAACAAAGTATTAAGGGATCAATATCTAAATGTTTTGAAAATAACTACCAGCTGCTTTTTTTGTGTATATTATCATAATTTTAAAGAGTTTTTTTAGGTCCATCCCTTAACGTACGGATGTTCTTTCTTCATGCCCATAAGCTACCTTTTGGTCACTGTGTGGATCCTGCTGGCTCTATATTTTGCAGCTAGTTGTCTTCTGTTCTTTGGTGTTTTTTACGTGAGATGATTTCCCATAATAAGCAGTGATCGGAAGAGGTAGAGTATACACATTTACCAAAATTTTGAGGAACAGAGACAGAAAGTGGAGACTACCTTACGACAACATTTTATTTAGTGCCTGATTTTTTCGGGATTCGGGAAATTATTTAAGTACACACGCCAGCACATCAAGCTACACATTGACGTATCTTGTTCCGTTGCAACGGAGCGATTTTCGAACAAAAATGTGTAGTCTGATGTGCCGTTGTCCGTACATTAAAAATGATGACGAAGTGGTAGTGCAGACTATATTTATGTAAACTTTGCGACAAGTTGTCGCAACCACCAATTTTTCAGAATATTTAGGAAAATTTCGACTAAAAAAATTCGTACTGAATATATGTGATTAGAATGATTAAGATATGTGTTTCAAACATACCGTTGATTTATGGATATTCCTCCGAGTTTCTAAAACTATCACATCGACTTTTATGTATGTTTTAACTTTTTGACTCGAAATTCATGTCATAATTAGAAAGATTTCGTTTTCATCAAACCCAAATAACGTCATTTTTTTAATGTACTTTAATGATTTCCAGAATTCCGGAATAGAATCGGGACAAAAAAATGTTGTCGTAATGTAGTCTCCACTTTGCTCTGTTCCTCGATGTTTAGGTAAATATAATTTACCTATTCCGATTACTGATAATAAGCTTTATCGACTACATTTAGTCGTGTTAACTAGACAGTGCACGTTTTAGTTGTATAGCATAAATTGTACACAAGGCAGAATTCGTTGTCGGACCACAACAGTCTCTCTTTTTTTTTACAGTTGAGTAAAAAAAAACATTTGCGTGCGTAAGTTATGCAACTGAATAATTTTCTCATAAATTTAAAATATGGCGATTTTTAATCGCAATTATCTCAAGTCACAGATCAAAATTCGAAATGGGGTCTTTGTCTCGATCTGTAGAATTTTAATTTTAACCGACATCAAAAAAGGAGGAGGTTCTCAATTCGACTTTTTTGTGAATGTTACGTGACTATTCCGACATTTGTGAATTTGGTTGATTCTGGTTTTGTTGGAAAGGGGGTACTTTAGTAGTAGTCCCATTAAAATTTGAAGTTAATATTATAAAAGCGGCAAATTAGGGGACGGATCCGGTTTATGGGATTTCGTTCACCGATTTTTCCGTTTAGCGATTTCAATTAAACTTGGTATATAGATTTAAGCTCTGCTGCATACGCCGTCCGTAGAATAAAATTAAGCTCTGCTGCATATGCAGTCCGTAGTCACGTATTCGCGAGCTTACTGATGTTGATACTACTAGACTAGTTTAGTTACTTCCATAGTATAATGTTCTACGGGATTCTCATGTGGGGTAAAGCGGCAGATATACAAAACATATTTGTGTTGCAAAAACAAGCGATTCGTTCTGTATACCGGGTTTCTCTCAGAGAAAAGTTTAAGGAGACTAGTATCATGACTGTGGCATCACAGTACATTTACTTAAATATTTTGGATGCGCGTAAAAATATTCATAATTTCATAATGAAAGAAGATACCCTATAGATATATAATATTAACCTTAGAGCTAAGTCCAAACTCATGGTACCACGATTTTGTTTAACTAAGATAAACGATTTTTTTATGGGGAACTGTATACGTTTTTACAATAAGATTCCGGAGTATATTTTAAGATAATCTTTTGCTAAGTTTAAAACTTGCATTAAAAGTATGTTAATTGAAAAGTTATATTATACAATTGAAGAGTATTTGTTAGATAAATATGTATGGAAAGGCAACATGAGGCTCGATTCCACACGATTATGATTCAAAGTGTTCCATAGTATTTAAGTTTATTAGAAAAGAGCAATCTCTTGTCAAAAAGTTCTTCTCAGGGAGGTCAGCATCGTGAACGAGCAGTAACTTAAAAAATGACTTTTTCAAGTCCATAAATTTAACCTATGGAATCAATAATTATTAGACTTTGACTTTGACTTAGATGTAATTTTTGAGGGCGGTTTTTTTATGAATAAGTAATAATCATATAAGATAATTTAAAATTTTATGCATATCGCTTGAAGAACATAGATTTATGTCGCCTATTTAGAATTTATGTCGCTTTGAGACGATTAATAAGCTTTCCTTGCTGTACTTTGGTAAAGACGTACCATTAGTGTCAAATTTCCTACAGCCGATAACTAGTGAACCATATTAAAATTAATCTAGGATGATCCATGTGACAGTTCATAAAAATCTACAATACATAACCTTGTCGTTAACGTGCACTAGTCTACGTATTTTATAAACTATTTTTATTAGCCTCGCATTTAAATTGAAGAAATAGCTTTTGTTTAAGTAAATACATTCAATTAAATTAAGAATAACAGCAAATTAATGTTCATTCGTGAGAAATGAGCAGAGAAACATTCTTTTTTCTAAAAATTTATAGCGCAAATATTATCTATTTATTATTCTGCATTTGTTAGAGACGAGGTACCTATATCAATAAAATGTTTTTGTTAATTTTAAGTGCGTGTATTAATTCTTACAGTCCGAATTTTAATCATAGCCAATGAAGTGACATGTCAGTGTTTTTAATTTTTTGAAACCTATACATTAATAATATGATAAATGTTTTTTATCTGTATTATGAGGCTGAAATTTACTAAAATATTTGTATATAAATTAGTAAAATGGTAAAATAAACCTAGTAAAATTGATTTTTTTTTTAGAGCTACGTGTTCTAAATAAATAGACTTCATAGTGTTGATATGAAGCTATAATAAAAAATTCTGGATGATCAGCGACTGTTAAGTTCCACTACATTGAATTCGTTAACACAATAATACTTTTTGTTAAAAAACAAATCGACCCCAAAAGTTAATAACATCTGTTTGCTAAGTTTTATTGAAGTCGGTTAACGGAAAGTGAGTGAAATTCAGTAAGCTTAGAGATGAAATGTTTTCTTCAAATTTGAATGGTACCTCCACTGCCTACTGACTTTCCAGCAAAAAAGAATCGTCGAAATCGGTTCACAAATATTGGAGTAATTTACAAAAAAATATACTCGAATAGGACCTCCTCCTTTTTTGAAATCGGTCATAATATATTAAGATAAGGTATATTTTCGTTTAGAAAGTATTTACATATATGACGACGTCTGTGGTGGAGTGGTTTGCACACTGGTTTTCATGGTGTTGCCATCTCTGAGGTCCTGGGTTCGATCCCCGGTCCTGGTCAACGTAGAAAGCTAACTTTTCTATATTGTCGAGATAATATAGAAATCTGCACGAGACCGAGGGTCTGGGTGTTCGTGGTGCCGTCGTTGTTTCCGATTTTCATAACACAAGTGCCTTTTAGTTACTTACTTTGGGATCAGAGCAACGTATATGATTTATTTTATTTATCACATAAACAGGGTGACAGGTTGAACGAGATAAATATTTAAAGAGGCAAACAAACTAGTAGCTGATATCTGACCCGAATATGTAAAAATAATCGCCCCTAAACATAAGAAAAAGAAAATATGCCATTTTACAAATACATATTAACACACTCTTCATTTGGGCTTCTCTATGAAACAGAACAGCTGAACGGCAGGAAATTGAACTCCCGCGTGTCAAGCATTCCTACTTAAAGAATAGTATTCAAAATAATCCATTTTTCCCTTAATTTCTTGCTTAGGATAGACAAAATTGTGTCCTAAAATCAATGTGTGGGATGGAGCACGCCGTCTAAGAAACTTTTGTCGGTGCAAGACCTTAGCACGACTAATAACAGCATTAGCACAACATACCATTACGTAACACCGTGGGAAACCATGCGCAGAGGCCGGTAAGGGTAGCGAGCACTCGCTGCATGTTCGATTTTGCGCAGAGTATTACAAAATGTTGGAGGCAGTATTTTCCTTAGAGAAAAATATTTAAAAATAAGGTAGTGTTTTTTTTACATATTCGTTATGGGTATCAGCTACTCGTTCGCCTCTTTAAATATTTATCTCGCTCAACCTGTCACCCTGTGTAAAGTGTATGTTATGTTTATATGTTGGTTTTCAGTCGGACGCTTTATTAATAGCCATTTACATTTGGTATTCTCTAATCTTTGTTGTGCTGATGGTCATGTTGATGACACTTTTGGCGTTGGTGTTCACGTCACGAAAACAAAAGAGTCGCGTTTTAATTGTCATAATGGGAATGATTTGGTACATCAGTAAGTAGAGTTTCTTTATCAATAGACTAGTATATGGGGTGCACGAAAGGAGCCTTCCCGCGCGACGCATCATACCTTTTGTGTACATCTGGCACATCCTGGGCAACAATCGGCGAACATCTTACGCTGATTGGTTAATCCTTTCAACACGATGGCAAGCATTATAGTGCGTGCCCTTCGATACGGTAAGAAGAGGATCAATAGACAGTTCACGTTTACCGTATTGAGGTGCATATACAAGGTTATTTGTAAAGTACTAACAGCCTTGTAGAAGTATATTACTAACATCGTAAAAAAAAAACTTTTCTTACATTATTTTGTGCAAAACATAATAAATTTACAAAACTTTTCACACGACGCACGAACAAGTCGTGCGCCTGATGGTAAGCTATACGCCTGTCCATAACAGTTACAGTGCCACTCAGAGCTTTAAAATTGCAAAGATTTGAGAGGCACTACCACTGCGCCCGTCACCCTGAGACATAAGTTGACAAGTCCCATGTGCCTGTAATTTCACCAGCACCCTTACCCTTCAAAACCGGAACACAGTAATGCTGACATTACTGCTTGGCGGCAGAAATAGGTAAGTTGGCAGTACCCTGGGCAAACTCTTTCACAAGGAGCTCTACTACTACTAAACTTGTACTACTGTTGTACTATCTGACAGTTTTTAGATCTGTATTTGATGGTAAAGTAGTAAGTTCAAACGTGCAAGCGTCCTCCACGACCCCCACCCCGCTCCTACTTTTTGCATCGGACTTTCTTTTGTTACTTCACAGAGTTATCACCATTTAGAGCGATCTATTTAAATATTTTTAATTTTTGTACCAAAGTAAAACTTGATGAATTATTAAAAGTGACAGAACAAAAGTTGTTGTTTATTATGTTGGTAATATAGTCCTCCCTGCAAGGTCGTTAGTATTTTATAAATACTCTGTATTGTTCAATCCGTGTGAACGACATTCTGAGATTTTCCACAATCATTCCTGACTTTCAGGATTTGAAACCAGAAACGTTTTTTTTTATAATTCAGCTGTTCATTTTTAACCGATTTCCAAAAAAGGAGAATTTTTCTCAATTCGACTTTTTTTGTATGTACACGTACACGTCATTTGTGAACCCATTTTCTTGATTCTTTTTTGTTGGAAAGAGGGTACTTGAGTAGTGGTCCCATTTAAATTTGAAGAGGTTATTCTATCTCTAAGGGTAGAAAACTAGGCGTTGAATCCGGTTTTGCGCACTTACCGGTAACCGATTTCGATAAAACTTGGCAAATATATATAATGCAACGAACATTTGGGGTTGGTTTTTTTAGTACAGAGTACTAAGATTTTGATTGATGTTTACGTTAGATAACTCACCATCTGAGGCCTCTGGTGTTACATTTTAAAGTAAAGACGGGTCAAAAAGTGATATTTTTGACCGACTTCAAAAAAATGAGGAGGATCAATTCGACTGTATGTTTTTTTTTGGATCAAATCGAATAACTTACTTATATTTCTTTTTTTCCAAACAAACCAACGTTTCTTTTCAATGGACCCGAAACGTTGGATTGTTTGAAAAAATAAATATGCGCGCTATAGATCCGAAAAAATAGTTTAATTTTCTAACAGTAACAATCGCGAAAACTCGATATATTCTTATTTCAACCAATTTTGTAGCTTTTAGTTAATCAGTCCTACTTTCATGTGTCAATTATTCGTATTTTAATTACATTATGTAATGTCTTAATTATTACAGTGACAATATACTTCATCGTTGTGGCAAACAGTCATCGAAGGACGCTGACCGACGACAATAGTACAATAATTAATGAGACACAGTTAGTAGGAGATGGGTTTTTGATGCAAGACGAGTCTAAAATAGTTCTACGAAATTAATTCCATAAATTTAATAAAAATACTAGTAACAGAGTGTTTTGTTTTTCAAAATTTTATTTTAGCGAATGATGGTGACGTGGTTTCAATATCAACAACTTTGAACATTGAAAGTTTAGAAATTTGCTTAAATTCCACCTTTCCTCTTTCTATCAGCTTGAGTTCTGCCCTTTTTGCGGATAAACCATGGATTCGCACGAAGCCTTACGCTTCCACCAAACTTATTAATGCGGAATCGTCGTTGTCATAATATGCTTAATGCGATTCCGTGTCCATAAATTTATTTATTTATTTAAACTTCATTGCACACAAAACAGTCACCCGGAGAGCTGGGCTCAAAATAATTAACAGGGGTGCATAATATGATAATTAAAACAGATAGGAACAAGTTAATTAATAATTATATATATAATTTAAATACAATAGATATATAACACATAATATTATATGACGACCTATATACTTATATAAGCAACCTATATACACATAAATACATAATATATAATATATACAGGGTATAAATTTGAGACGGGGCAGCAAGGCCGACTACCTTAATCATTGTAGTTACAGGAAAACGGTTCTAGAAGACTATCCATAAATTTTGAAAATATATTGATTGGCATTCACAGATTTTGAAGAAATGGTACAGTCAGCAAGATAAAACGCAATTTGTACAAAACTTTTATTATGCCATTCGATCTGGTCTCCGGTAAGGATCAATAGTCTCTATGGGACCAACTGAGGTAAGAGTACTCGAAATGTCAGAAATCGCAAAAAACTTTTTACCATACATTTTGCAGGGACATATCTTGTCATCAGTTATTCTAGGTAGTTAAGGTAATTAACAAATTGTATACGTATTATGTATTTCAAAATAAGAACAATAATGAAAAGCAAAATAACATAAAAAATCTATGATCGATTCGCTCTCTTTCGCAAAGAGCAAGTAGCGGCTGAAAATTTTCTCCAATTAATTTTTTTCCACATTCGAGAACATTTTGATTAAAAATCGTATAAAAAGTGACAATTCTCTATTAACGAAACAAAGCTGTTCGAAATTTAAAAAATAACGTTATGATTATAATTTATTTTTACTTAATTCTTATTTGTAGACTAATTTGTTAGTTTTCTTAACTACCTAGAATAACTGATTACTAAATATCCCTACATATAGTCCCTACAAAATGCATGGTAATTGCGATTTCTGACATTTCGAGTACTCTTACCTCAGTTGGTCCCATAAAAACTTATTGATCATTACCAGAGACTGGATCGAATGGCATAAAAAAAGTTTTGTATAAGTTGACTTTTATCTTGCTGACTGTACCATTTTTTGAAAATCTGTGAATGCCAATCAAAATATCTTCAAAATTCATGAATAGTCTTCTAGAACCGTTTTCCTGTAACTACAACAATTAAAGTAGCTGGCCTTGCTGCTCCGTCTCAAATTTACACCCTATATATTTTATATACATATTTAACTATGTCAGACTAATGGGATTTAGATTGAGACTCCAATATGAAATCGCGGACTAATGGCTTGAAAGCTAGCTTATTCGGCGCTTTTTGAATATGGGGCGGTAGAGCGTTCCAGAGTCGTATTGGCTGAAGAAAGAAAAACCAGTACGGTGAGAAAGAATTAAAAGAGTCAATTTGCTGTCTGAGCGAAGATTGCGATTATGGGATGCACCCAAAAATTGAAATTTATATTTCAAATATCCAGGTGTACATGTATCATTAATGAAAGAGTAAAGAGTGGAAATAAATGCGCTGACACCTTCACTAGAACCTAAAATTCTTAATATTTCGAACAAAAAGACCGCCAATAGTGGATAAGGCTCGAAAGCAAAATATACATTGAATACATGGAAGTGTCTTACGTTTATTTGAGTGACAAAGAAGTAATGACAAAACGTTTCTCAAGATTCCGGAGATTCCTACAAAATTCACAAAGTGAAGCACCATACAGTTTCAACACGTCAATACTTGTTATGTTTAGGCTTATATTACGTTGCCGTGAAACGGTATGGAATCGAATTTTTGTAACGAAATTGAGGCATACCATAATGAACTTTAATGTCAATTTACTGAAGTACAAAATGAATATGATACGGTACCTACAGGAATTCCCGAGATCGCGTGAGAATTCTCTGAAAAGCGCGCGATCTGGTTTTTAGTACGTATCTGGTACTATTTCCGTTTTTCATCCGACTTCCGTTATACAATTTATTGTCATGACGTTGCTATGGCTACAAAAATTCGCACCTTGTAAAATGAGCTTTAGTGCGTAGTCGCTAGTATCCATACAACCGACTACACTGCACATGGCAGTCACACTGTGTCCATAGTGATATAGTCGAATTGCAATTCGTATGAGTACGATCTAAGTTGTAGTAGTTGGTTCATCATCGTCTTTAGTACACAACGGTTTCAGTATCCAGTGGAAATTTCAACATCAACAACAGCACGAGGGACAGGTCTTCTAAGTTCTAGGTAGTATGCTTATACGGTGTACCAAAGGCCGAATTGTATGACTGGAAAAAAAAACTTATTTGCAATATTGAGTTTTATTGAAACGTGATATTACATGATTACCATTACATTCTTTATTTTTTGTGAAATTACACCACTACAAAAAAGTGGCAAACGGCTTGTGTATTCATTTCAATGATAATAGAATAGTTTTTTTTATTATCGTTTCAAATAACAACAATTCACCTTATTTAGTAGGCACTTTTTCAATTTACTTGTTATTGAACATCGCCAGAAAAATCTTGTTGAAATTATCTCGTGTGCATCGCGATATAACTTTACGAAAACTATCACTCCTCCCGCACCGCGCAGCTACTCCAGGAACCGACACAGTTAAGCGGTAGGTTAGAGTTTGTTAAATTTATTACTACCGCGATAAAAGCCGAAGAAAACCAACAAAATAGATATGTAACAAACGCATAGAGAAATTCGTAAGATCTGCTGAATCAATAAATATTTAATGAAATAAATATTTAAAGAAATACATATTGAAGGAGATAAATATTTAACGAGTTCAAGCGTTTTTTGAGCCGTACTATTTTTTTATGCGTTTCAGTGTTTCTTTTGTGTTATTATTTGGTTTCTGATGTATTCATCATGTTAAATAACTATGAGTATAGTAAAAAATAATTTGTTGTTTTAATACTACATTCAATACAATATTGAGGTAAAATGTTAAATTAATGATTAGTGACCGTGACAGTTGTCAAATACTCAGAGGAAATGGGTGATTTCTATCCACACGGGTAGCCGCGACTGATGGCCATATCTTGTCACAAGTAGTCGCGTCCATACCCTGGTGCTGGTCCAGTTACTCGACTGAACCATTAGTGGTCGCGTTTAGTGGATGTCACTAGTGGTCCAGTGAGGTACTTAGTTCTTCTTTTTGCTTATTTTGCGTATAGGCGGCCTTTTTAGGATTTGAAGAGGACAAGCTTGTAAAAAAAAAGCAAGTCGTCTAGTCATGCCTTATCTTCTCAAACTCGTATCTTATAAAGAGTGCTAATTCAGGAGATGGCGAAACTTTCTATTTATTTTCAATTTCTTATCAAGGGTGCTAGTTTGGATGTATTTCTTTAAGAACATGTAAAAGCCAGTGTGTGAATATGAAGGAAATGTGATGTGAAATCAGCCTGAGTAGTTTGTATATACAATCCATTTTTCGCATTTCTGTAACTGTATATATAAAGTTTGAGAAAGTAAGGCGACGCTATCTCAAGTCTATTAAATATTTGACTTAATGCACTTGCATATATAGATGAAGGCAATAAGCAATCCGTATATAGTGCTCATAAATACACGATATTGTGCCATTGATAAACAAAAGAATATGATATTTAGAACAAATGCTTGGATGAACCACATTAACTGTATTACCAACCAGTAGAGAATCGCTGATTTAATAATCTGAAATTTTAAAAAGTTTGTCTAGTTTACAGAATATGTTTATCAGTATGTTCGTTTGTACATGCTTCTGGTAGAAGTGACGTGACTAACAAGTCGTGCGCCTGATTGTAAACGACACGCCTGTCTTTACAGTTCTCAGAGCTTTAAATCGCAAAGATCTGAAGGGCACTGCTACTGCGCCTGTCTCCCTGAGACATAGAGTAGTAGCAGTAGAGCTCCTTGTGAAACAGTTCGTCCAGGGAAGTACTTCCATCCATACCATCTTACCTCTTTCTGCCGCCAAGCAGTCATGTGAGCATTACTGCTTTTTGGTTTTGAACGGAAAGGGTGCTGGTGAAATTACAGGCACATGGGACTTTTCGGTTTATGTCTCAAGGTGACGGGCGCAGTGGCAGTCCCTATCAGATCGTTGCGATTTAATGTTCTGACAACTGTTATGGACAGGCGTGTCGTTTACCATCAGGCGCACGACTTGTTAGTCCCGTCACTTATCACGGTTTACGGTATCATAAAAAAGGCCATCCGTTGGGAGCTACGATAACACAGACAAACACACAGACAAAGGCTTCAAACTTATATACATTCCCTCTTTTTGCGGGTATTATACAATGAAACGGGATATGATATAGACACCCGACATATATCTGCACACGTATATTACTTATTATTACACTAATTAAGTTATAATACTATCTTGGTTGTTTGTTTTTATAGTCGTGAGCGACTTAATTGAAGTGTAATAATTTTGTTCCTTTTCGGTACAACCATCAATGTAGCAACTTTTCAGTTCTAGACGGCGGCGTTTGTACTTTACAGTAACTTTTGTTCATATTATTAAGTACTAGGCTACCAGTGGTCATAAACTTAAAATACACAGTACAAAGCTATTTCAAAGTTGAGATGACCTCGGTAGTGGTTTGCACTATGGGCGTTGAAGCCCAACCTGAGAAAATGGTTCTGGTCTGTGTATTGTAAGGCACTAGCCTCGAAGTGTATTCCGTTGTTCTGGTACTTATAGCACAGGTAAGGCCTAAGTTTGAGAGCAGGTAATTGGTTTGGTTGTCTAAAAAAAAATGTTTTAAGGTATTTCTACAATAAAACTATTACAATTTTTCTTACCGGAAAATCCCTCCGCATTGTCACCCGTTGCGTTAGGGTAGCGTAGTTTCCTCTATTTCAGAACCTTTCCTTAGTTCTAGAAAATATGCATATACGACCAACCAAGAATAAAAGTTGAAAACTGAAACATTTTAAACAATAGTATTGTAACATTCAATACGTCTTGCCAGTACAGTCTCAGGGTGATGGATGTAGTGGCAGTGCCCATCAGATTTTTGCGATAGAAAGTTCTAAGTGGCACAGCAACTGTTATAGACAGGCTTGTCGTTTACCACCAGGCGCACGACTTGTTCATCCCTTCACTTGGTATAAAGAAAGTATATCTAATCATAGTTTGATTCAGAATTTTATGTCCAAATTTGTGATGTAACTAAAAAGTCCGACTTCATCGTGTAAGTTACAATTGCGATGCAAATAATTCGTTTTCATCGCAATTGTAATTGAAGTCTGACTTTTTGCGTCTGGTGCAAAAACTATTAAATACATCGTCAAAACTAAAAATGAACCTGTAAATCTCACAATACAAATGATAGTAAAGATGACGTCAAATACTTACACATAAAGAAAACAGTAGAAATCAAAGTGAGTATCCAACTAAAGAAATGTAAATTTCTTGCCGATAGACAGTTGAGTGTTATCGTAAGAAATATTCCCTGTAAGAGCCATACGCCAGATAGAACTACCCAGGATAAAACGATGGTCCATTTCTCCTACAATAAGAATTATTCAATTTCTATTCATTTCAATAATTTGTTTTGCTACTCAATATATTATTCAAAAATTGGAATAAATTTAGTCTATTGAGTTGACGTCTCGCAGTAACAAAATTTGCATTAAAGACAGTTAACTAAATAAAAGTAGAAGTTAATTAATTTGACTGTACATTAATTTTGCCACCTTCACTCCACATAAAATAAATAACACTACCAAAAATATACCCGACACGTGTTTTGCCTCTCTACTAGGCACCTTTAGGGGTTATTGATTGTTTGACCTTTGACCGAACAAAATCAATTTACAGTCGCTTAACTGCATGAAAAATCCCACACAAGCGCAGCTGTTTTGCTCGATTTATTGTTCACTGGGTTCACTGAGTAGCAAATTTATTTATTTCTATTTTATTAAAATGGCTTTCAACTGAATCTATTAGTTACGAGTACTTCAACTGAAATCAGTTCTCAGGAGAAAAATCAGGTAGTCTTAAATATAACAAATAGAATTTGGAATTTCTGTACAAAAAAGATATTCGACGGTTATTGGTCGCATTATTCACGTTTATATCCACACGAAATTGATGGAAAGAGAGAAATGGCTGTTTGGTACAATAGCAATTTGATATCCATTCGCACTGAAACGAAAAGCGTGCAATTAAAGAATGAAAAGCGAAAAGCGTGCAATTAAAGAAGTCATTCAGCTACAGTAGCGTCTGCAGGCAAAAGGTGGCTACAGATTTGCTCGATTTTTGACGTAAGTAACAGATGATCGACATCATATTTTTGATCGATTAATAAGTGTGATCAGGTTCAGTCAAATTCAGTAAATATGTAAGAAATAGACGTTCGCTATCGTATTTTTTGAAGCTCGACTCGTGTCGATAGTCAAAAAATCGAGCAAGTCTGTAGGCACTTTAACACATTCGCGCAAGTATCATGCGTTTGACGATTGATCCGCGATACTTTTCTCATACATTATTAATGTAAACGTTTATTAAAATTTCTTCTACAGGCTATTCAGCGAATGAGACAAATAATAATATAATAATAACCCGCACACACTCGTAGCTCCGCACTAGGGAAACCCTTTATAGCGGATGCCATGGACACACACATAGAAAACCACAAATTACACGCAAACTCACGAGAGAAATATATGTAGGCCATACATGATTTCTCCCGGCCCGGGAATCAAACCCGGGTCCTCTGCGTGGCAGTCCAACATGGTAACCGTTCGGCCACGGAGCCAGTTTATAAATAATGATAGTGACGTCAATAAACGTTGATATCTATAAACCGCCCGCTGACGTTGCGCGTGTATGCCAGCAATCACTGGTATATTATATGAGTAGTGCTAACTTTGCCTGGGAAATTTCAATACTGCATGTCGCTATAGAATAAATATTTTGATATATTGTAGAGTAATGACATCACTATTAAGATTTTGTATTGCCAAAGAGCGTTCTCTTACGTTCTTCGATGAAATAAAAGAATTAAGTGACGTAATAGTACGTTGTTCTGTCTGTTTTGTTTAGGGCGGCACTGTTCGTAGCTCGCGCGAATGTGGATACACTATACCTTTAGAATACCCCAAATGAGCCACACGTTCAGTACAACCATCAAGGCTAAAAGCACGGTATTGTTGATGATAATAGAGTGTGAAGTTTGCTCTGTGTATCCAGGACACTGGATACAATATTGGATTTGTACTGATAGAACAATACCGCCGATCATTAAAGATACATACGTGCACTGGAACAAAATCACTTTTAAAACATGTTGCTGTTTTCTCAGGAATAGTGGTACAAACTAAAATAGTTCTTAGGCTACAAACTGAACGACAACGGCAGCGGGCGGCGGCGCGATGGCGACGGCGAGCGAAGCGGCGGCGTTCAATCAAATTTAGAGATGTCGTCGGAGGAAATAATTTCAGTAGTTTTAGAAACACCACCAATATGGAACAGCATATATATCGATCATAAAAATATTTGATAATTATTTATTAATATCTATATAGAGAAAAATAGAGTTACTATTCGTTCATAACTAAAGTATGATTCCAATTCTGGCTTGATATTTGGAAGAATATAGTCAAACGTTTCCACAATCATTCTAGCGCTATCATAGAACTTAGCCGGATTTTGTCTTTGGTCTTCGTAATTTTGGTGATCGGTATTTGCTTTCCTTGTTCTACAGGCTCACGTCTTCTTTTTCCCACAAGAATAAATTCTGAATGATCATACTCATCTGAATAAAAGATATATTATCATATTCAGTAAAATAATTAGGTAGTATAAATGGGTCACGCCACTGTAACGACATCGCGCATCGCTCTCGTTATGTCACTTTACCGCCGTAAACTAAGGTCGATCTGTTTGCTGGCGTCGAGAACAGCCCACTTTTGTTGCGTCGAAGCCGCCCGCACTGCTGTCGCCACCGCGAAGCTGTTGTCCAGTTTATGGCCTTACCACCCATTCACACGGCATTGTACAGAACGTTTTTTTGTATAAATATTACCGAAGAAACAGTGACGCATACATTAGACATAGAACCGGTCACACAGTATTTGTCCTGCAAAAAAACGCACACAGTGCGTTATCTATGCGTTTATCGAATACGCAACGGACTTGTCAAGCAAATCGAATGAACTTTAACGTATTCGGTTTACAGTAGCGCCATAGTCTTAATGCATCTCTTTAACATGGCGCGAAGTCATACGTTTTTTATCGAATAGTCACCGAACAAGCGTCGTCTAGTATTGAAGTATCTTTTGGGAGGAATGCATAATTTTATTAACACAAAATGACCGGCGAATCTTTAGTGGGCAACGATTTATTGATATCTTTAGTGGAATTAAAGCCCGTTTTTCTTTTCATCATTTTTCAGATTTTCATATAATTTTTCAAATTTATGAAATTAAATTATTTATGAAATCATCAATTATAAAAATTGAAATTATTTTTATAATTAATGATTCATTAGATGAACCCAGTACCTTCTGTCCTTTTGGCGGCTAAAACGTTGGGATCTTCCATGATAATATAAAAGTGCAACAAAGCGTGGGTCCATCACAGACGTGTTCTCAGGGCGATTGCTGTGTGCACGGAAGAGTGTGAATACTACGGTCCTACTGCGGCTATCCGTCTTTTAAACGCATGAAAATATATTGTGTGAACACCCCGCTGTCTATCCTTTTATAATCGAATACGTAGAAAAACGTAGTGTATTGGGAATAAAAAAGCTTTATTGGGAATTCAGAATGCGCTAAATTTTACGGTGAATATTTACACGCATATCGATCTTTTTTTTTCTTTTTACGTAGCTATATTCAGAATGTATTAATTTTTTTATCAAATCTTTTTATATCAATACATCGAGCTTTTCACTGATTATTTTTTTGATATTATATTATAATAATCATATGACAAAATTGCGCCGGTACACGATTCGGCGGCTTTGCTTGCAAGATAAGCTTTAGTGAATATCTTGATAGTTTACTGGAGCAGATCTAGGCCGATATTATAGAAAGCCATTGTTCTGTATTATTTAAACTTAAATTTTTCTAAAATTCTTAATATGAATGCATGCTAATGGAGGCAGAGTTTTGTACTTAAATTTGGACATATAGTTATCGTACATTATTTTTCTGCGTCTTATGACGTTTCCAGTAAATGAGGCTTCTTTACCTCACCTTTTTTTTGGTTAATATGTAAAATCGTTGCAGTGTGCATTTAAATTGATATTTCGTAACATTACATTCCACTCCTCCTTCCCTTTAGATGTTAATATACACATACACACCAGCGCACGAAGTATTGGGTATGTCCACCTGTCCCTCATAAAACATCTCTTCCGGGTAGACAGTACTACGCAGTTCCTCTTTATATAATAAAATAAACAAGATTCTATCTAGATATTTACACCCTCCCAAGAACTTAAACTAACATGAAAGGACTGATTGCAGAATCTCAGCTTCATGTCAAAATTTGCAAATTGCATGGTCAAAGTTGTAACGTTTATATTACATATACTAATATGCTTATTTATATAGACTGATTCCAAGATTTATATCGTAGGGCTCATCCAAGTACACACACAGCACACGCACACGCACACCACACATAGTTTAAAAATTGTTTTTCTTATTTTGTTGTCATACTTTTGTTTATTCTCTTTTATCATGTAGAATGTTTGGCATTGTAATGTTTGTATAATTAAATCTGGAGGAAGACGTAGCGTCTGTCATACAAATATAATTACATGATTCAGATCCAAGTGAACAGTATGCCCTTACTTTTGTGTGAAAAATCTATTTATCTAGATACCCTATGATCATGTAGGATAAACAGAACTAAATTTAAACGCAATGTTTTAATTTTTTTATTATGCCACGTCACGGGACGAACAAGTCGTGCGCCTGATGGTAAGCGACACGCCTGCCCACAGCTGTTGCAATGCCACTCAAAGGTTTAAATCACTGACTTTTATTTCAATTTCAAATTCAATTTATTTTAGGCACTGCCACAGCGTTCGTCCGCGTCACCCTGAAACGTAAGTTGACATGTTCAATATGCCTATAATTTCAACAGTACTTTTAACCATCAAAGCCAGAACACAGTAATGTGTACCGCTTTGATGGGAACGCAGTAATGCTCACATTACTGCTTAGCGACAGAAATAGGTAAGCAGGCAGTACGTCTCTGGACGAACTCTTTCACAAGAAATTGTACTGCTACAAAATTTATCACCACAATTTACCTGCTATGTTATAATGTACACGGATGTTTACGTGATCATAGAATTAATATAATCTGGATTTGAATCACTTCACATAACTAATGTACATTTTGATGTACACGGTTCCTTAGGAGGATAAGTAAAGACATACTTTCTTTAACTTACCACATTGTAATAGGCGGTGAATAGTGCTCCTGTTCTTAAACTATAACGGAATATGAAATTGGCAGGGGTTATTTTTTCCCACTTTTCTACAATTTTTGCGAATGTGCACATTGTGTTACAAAATAAGAAGTTGTTATTCGAAATACATACAAAAATTGAATTAAATGTCAAATCCATAACCACCTTGATCAAATTGTGAATAAAGTTACAGCTTGCGGTTATTGTTATATATTCTTTATAATGATTCATGATATACTAACGTATTTAATCAATGTCATAGTTTTTTGTTATGTAAGGTAGGCAAACGAGTAGACAAGCCACCATCGCGCATCGACATTTTCAATAAAATAGGAGCTATAATTAGTAATACAAAGGTGGAACACGAAGAAAAATTCCAATGATGTAACAGGACTCAAATCTGGTAGCTGCAGGCTGTCACAGGTGTTGCTTATGGTAATAAAAGCCGAAAAAACCCAATAAAAAAATCTGTAATAAACACTAAGGCCGCAAATCAGGAACGGTGCGTGATGCGCGTTCAAGGTTTGCGCGTACATTCCACGTATGTCTTTCTTCTTTCTTCTTTTCTTCGTTCGAGTTCTGGGTTTTTTCTTTGTGTCTGATCTTTGTATTAATAATTTTATAACAAACTAGAGAGGAGTCATTTCACAAAAAAATGAATATCAGGGTAGTAAATTTCACGAAATTCAATAAAATCAAGAGGAGCTGTTTAGCTTTTGATGGTAATACAATGGTGTAGAAAAAATAGAAAAATGAACTACCAAAAATGTCTTTTATTATCTCCTGAAATACTTCGACCGTAAATAATTGGTAAAGTACTGGAGTTTTAATAATATACAAAAACAATAACCGAAGCTCAAGTAAAACGTTTTAGTAATATAATTTTTATATTATATTTTTCACAAGTTTCAAGGAATTTCTGTGCTAATGTTAACATTCACAATGACAAGGACAAGTTCTACGAAATTACAAATAGCAGTAAAATAGATTTAAGTTTCGATTGTAATTCCTCTTCTGATTTCTAGGTAGTATGCGTATCCGATGAACCATAGGTAAATATTGATACCTGGAAAGAGAGTCATAAAAATGGAAGGTCTTGTTTGAAGCAATCAATCGTTGAAGGACATAAGTATAAAGACTGAGAGGTCATTCTTGGGGTATGCAAAAGTAAGGCGTAAATCGTAAAAAGTAATAAACTGGGCTGAAAATTAATTACCCTTCTGGCCTACAAGTGTCCAACGACGTCCAGCCATGGAGCTATGAATTTGACGGATGTTTATTAGTTTATTTTTATTTTGTTTATATATATATATATATATATAGATATAAATAAAATATAATTATATAATAATTATATTTAATTATAGAAAAAATTAATTATATAAAAAATATAAAATATAATTAAAAAATATTTTATTTATATATATAGATTATTACCTATAATCATAAAAATAAACTAATAAACATCTATCATCTATCAAACTAATAACATTTGACCATATTCTCATTTGGTGGTAAATAGCGACGTAGTTCCCTGAATGGGCCGTATAACTTGGGTCTTTGGCCGAGGCGAGAGTGAATAGGCATTATTTCGATGGGCGTGCTAGTGGCGAGGTGTAAAAAAATTCCTTAGTAAAGCCGAAGCAGAACAAAAAAACACTTACTTTAACAAAAAAATATTTTCCCGTTAAAAAGGCGCTTTGACGACATTTAAACACAACACTTATTAGCACACAAGATACTGGTACACTTCATTTCACTGGTTAATTTATTCTACACTTAAAATTCTTATAGCTTTTAAAGTAATTTACTACATTTTGTGTTGCTAGTCGCGATATGAAAGTTTATTATAATAAACTAACTTTCGTGAATGCCTAAGGGTTGCTATTTTAATTACGAATTAACAGGACCTTCTACGTTCTTTACGTAGCCCTATTAAAAAGAAACACCCAAACAAATATTGCACATTTGTAACGCTATTTATCGTTTAAGCTGTACAAAAACTAATTAACCATTCATATATAATAATTTTGTTACATTATTTAAAGAAAGTGTTACATCTAGCAACGATTGATTATACATTAAAACAAATCGGTCTTTAAAAATAAACTGTAATAAAGGTTGAAATAAGGAGAACGCATTCGACTATAACCGATTTGTTTCAGCTTATCGGCTGTCATTTCTTTGATGTTTTGCAGCGGATGTTTGCAAATGTGTGCGTGTATTTTGATAAGTGCGTGTAGATTTCATGAATCAAATAGAAGCCGGAGACTCGCCGGTTTGTCTCGCGCTGTAGTTGGTTAAGATCAATCAAGACATATATACACGTTTATTATTAAATATTTTGAATATAAGTTTTTCAAGTGGCGGGGTATACGTGTTGTCCAGAACATAGTCTTTTGGTACGTAATACGAGGAAAATTTTAGGCAAGCCGGTGGGAATCATGTTTTATGGACGCGTCGCTACTGGTGCATGCTCCATTGTGGACCTCATCACACTTTCCATCAAGTGAGATTGACATCAAATGAGCACAAGTTTTTAATAAAAAAGGACCTGAAAATCTGCCTTTCCGAAAACTTTGGCTTATGCTGAACGACTCAATTTAAACTCAAATAATTTGTGTTTCAGAAGTAAGCTAATAATTGAAATCATTATATTTACTATTATATTGACTAAAACCTCTTACTCATTCGTAAAGGCGGCTTTTCATAGCCCGTGATGTGAAATGGTGCGTTCCTATGGCTCGTGATGTCACACGTGCCGATTTGTACGGGCGAGCTCGCAACACGGAGCTGACGCGCGTGGCGGCGCGTATGAGTATGTATCGAGAGCTAGGCCGCACACGTAAGAAACTCTAGGGGTTGTTCTTTGTAAATAAATATTTGAATCTACATAGTTATCACTTACAATATTTATTTTAATATCATAGATCCAGAGAGCTTCCGAGAGCTAAACGGGTCGCTATAATTTAAAACTTCGTGAATGGTATAATGTTAATTATCAACCGGAATCTTACTATAAAAGCGTATAACATTTGTCCCTTAAATGAATCTGCCACTTTGTGAACGACTATTAAGAACAGCAAGTTTATTTTGATTCCTCGTATTAATGTTATGACTCTCACAATTTTTCATAAAAAAATTACTGTTCTTCGTAACATAAATAAAATTTTCATAAATGTGATAATGACGCTAGTGTAAGAATCTTAATGTCTTTAAACTTCTCTTTCAAAGACGCTCTGGGACCCAAATTGTAAATGACTGTAATTAGATATTGTACTTCTATATTTAATTTACAGTCGTGTCATTCTAATAAATAAAGTATTTATATATCTATCGAGAAAGTGCCTATTCGCTCTTGTCTTGTAAAGTTTCATGCTGTATATTGTAAGACAAAATTAAGGCATTGACCCACTAAGATACTTACACATTAAGATAACACTAAAGGATACAATGAGTTGCCAAGCAAGCAACTTTGAACTGCCTGACGTTAGACTAATGAGAATTATCATTAGGACAATGCCCTGGAAGAGCCATGTGGCAGTTACTACCACCCAGCTGAGAGCTACCGATGATTTTCCCTGAAATAAATTTCGAATAGAAGCATATATCCAATTAACAAGCATAATGCATGTGTATCTGAGATTATAAAACAATTGACGTATTTCAAAATCTGTCCATAAATGAAAATTATCAGTTATTCTATAAAATGACGCCAGCTTCAATTGTCTACCTTTAAAAGAGCTTTTTTTATTTTTCTTTACGATTCCTAGTGACAGGATGAACAAGTCGTGCGCTTGGTGCTAAACGACACGCCTGTCCGTGACAATTGTATAGCCACTCAGAGCTTTAAATCGCAAAGTTCTGAGGAGTATTGCCATTATGCCCGTCGCCATGGGACATAAGTTGACAAGTTGAAATCCTATGTGCCTGTAATTTCACTAGCATCCCTTCAAAACAGAAATGCAGTAATGCTCACGTTGCTGCATTTCGGCAGAAATAAGTGCCTTACATGTGGCAGTATTTCCCTGGACGAACTCTTTCACAATGAGCTCAACCGCTGTTATCCACAAATATAAACTTGAGACCTTTGCTGTACATTCTCACCTTTTTAATACCCCAAATGAACCACACGTTCAAAAAGAACATCACGCAATTAAAAACGGTGTAGTTGATGCAGAGAGCGTGTGCCATCTTTGCAGTATACTCTGGACATTGTTGACATCCTTTAAAATCTATGGACAGAATAATCCCACCGAGCAGCAATAACACAAATATGCACTGAAATGAAATAAGCACGTATTTGGTATTTTTTAATCTATTTTCTTTTTCAAAAATTCAAGCAAAGACAGCGTTGTATGTTTAAATCATAATGTCATCATGCCAATGTCAATAAATTTTAACTTTGATTAAGGGAATGCGCAAAATTATGCACACTCTTGTACAGTAGGTACATGTTAAATCGTCATCCAACCTACATATAGTCTAAGGAGAGAGTTTATGCCATATGCTGGTTCTTTAGTGGAAATCGAATCTTACACCTCCTATATAGGAGGCAAGCGTTCTATCAACGAGACTAATAACGAATGTGCAACTCACCATATACCAAATTGCTGTCACTTGTGCCCCAAGCCTTAAAGAAAAACGGTACAGAAATTTTTTAGGGGCAATTTTATCCAGAAACATGGCGGCAATTCAATAAAGCGTTATTATAAAAACGATTTCTTTTGCATGTATATTGTGAAAGATAATAGCGAAAATAACATCATAATGTTACATCAAATTCAAAACCAACTTGATTAAGGCGCAAATCAACTCAAGAATTGCCAAAAGCCAAGTATCAATGAATTGCAACGTTTAATTCCGTCTTCCCCTTTCCTTTTTTTTCCCCCTTCGTTCCGTTTGGAACAGGCGAAGGTCAGAGATCATACTGCCTAGTCATTAGTTTATCTTTTTCTTCAGTAAATATATTTTAATTTAAGTCTTCAGTGTAAGATCCTTCAGTTTAAGACTTCAGTATTTCAGTATGAGCCGTGTAACGTGTAGTCTTTTATTTAAAATATGAATTATCCAGGAGACGAAAATGTCTTGATAATATTAATTAAATGTTATTGTCAAATCCTTATCATTTGTCAATTTTGTTTGTTTTGATCATTCATAATGTCATCGTCGATTATAACGGCGGAACTAACGCTTTTTAAAGAACACTATACCACAAATTAGAAAGGTACAGTCACTATTTTACACGAAATAAATATGCTGTGCTATTTACATAACTAAATAAGGGTATGTATGTCGGCCTATTTACAAGGAGATCCTGAACAGAGCGCGGTACCGAATCTGGACTACCGTATATTTCAATTAGCTCATCCATCAGCACAAGACGCTGAATGCTGAAAGATGGGCATTGGAAGATTTTGTGGAATATAGATTGCTCTGCTCGGGGTCACAATGATCACGATGTGGACTGTGGACCATTTTCAAAGATTGGTAAACATGATAATTTAGACGACAATGCCCAAAACGAAGCCTTAGAATTGTTGTGTAGAACTTCCTGTTAATGTAATAACCTTTTTTTAGAGAACCAAGGAGTGCTTCAAATGGGAACATTGTATGTAGCATACCATAAACTCTTGTTTTCCATTTGAACTGTGTGATTCCAATGCCTTTTCCGTATATCGATAGACATTTTCTTTAAAAGGGGGATTATATCTGTCTATGGGACGGAAATAATGAAACAATTGAAATAATGGAGAAATTGCTAAAAAAAGTTGTGGCTAAAAAGGCAGCCTTCTCATTACCTAGTACACCAACATGTGATGGAACCCACATAAACATAGTCCTAATATTATCTAGAATAAATAAATCTAGCCACATCTGCTTGATTGAACAAATTAAATAATTTGTGTTAGCATTGAACTTGTTATTTTTAAGATTTTCAAGAACTCTCATACTATCACTAACTATTGCCCATTCACGACATCCATGATCTTTATACCTTATGTGTTTTAGGCAGCAAGAATAGACACAGCCTCAGCTGTGAATATACTTGTTTTTGAATTTATTTTATAGCCAACACCGGAATTTATTAATCCATCAAAAAATGCAAACGACACAGAAGACGCAGTTTTACATCCATTAGTATATAAGAATCTATTTCCAGATAACTCAGAAAACTTACTATATACATCTTCTTTAGTAGATAAGTTATGATCAATAATAATGTTCATTGCAGGAAATTTACTATTAAAATCTCCCTGGTAACATGGAAGAAGAGATGACCTATAGGTTTGTGGACTTTCAAGAAAATTATGAAATTCAGAAAAGCTCTCAAGTATGTAAAGATGGTTACAGATGGACGATGGAGATGAACATGTTTAAGCTTGCAAACAGGTGATTATTATTTTTACTGTACAGTTTTAACAGGAACATTTGTTTTAAATAAGAGAATCTTAGGGTCGTATTCTAGAACTCTATTCAATGCTCAAGTCAGGATTGCACTGGAAACACAAGCACTGGAAATACGACCCTTATACTCAATGAAGGAAGACCACACTCAACTTGCATAACATTTATAGGAGTGCTCTTGAATGCTCCAATAACAAGACTCAGATATTTATTTTGTATTTTACTGAAAATATCGACCAATCTATTGTCACCAGCAAAACAAAAAAAAACCGTATTCAAAATTACTACGAATAAGAGATATATACAAAGACAACAATATTTTGGGATCAGCTCCCCAGGATGTTCCACACAATGATTTCAATGCATTAAAGGCTGAATTAGCTCTTACTTCTTTACTCTTAACTAATTAAATCAACATATTTTTTTCCAAGAGACATTATTGGTAAATATTACACCCATAAACTTAGCTTCACTGTAAACTGGAATAGTAACGTTGTTGTAATTCACAGACGAAATGAAGTTGTTGATTTTACCAAAGATGACAGATTTAGATTTTAATGCATTTATATTCAGATACAAATAAGTAAAGTATGGAATAATTACGACGTGGAAGAGACTTAACTTATACAATGACGTAACTGGTTGATGACTTTATCACCTCAGTCAATCGTGACTATGGGACCTGTCAAAGGGCCCGAAATGTTGGTTTGTTTGAAAAAACAAATATACGCGATTTAATTCCGGAAAAATTGTTTCATTTCCTATGTATCCAATCGCGAAAATCTAAGAACTCGATAAAAAAATATGTTTATTTTATGAGTCAGAAAATGTGAAACAAAGGAGTAAGACGAGAGCTATTTCATAGGAGATATCTAACGTTTAAGTTTGAACTGTTACTGAAAATGGCCTCATCAACAGGTCATACTCAACCAGAGCATTAACAAGTACTACGTAGTGACGTACTTGACTTGAATTACTTAACATAAACAAACTTATTTAGGCGTGAATGCTCCATTGTCGACTTCCTCGTCATTTCCCATCAGGTTAGATGGAAGTCCAATGCGCTCCAATCCAACTTTTTAATTAAAAAAAATCACAGCTTGGTCCGCAAACAACACACATAGTACACTAAGGAAAACCTTTTGTAATTTTTTTAAAATCTAAATTTAAGGAGCTTTACTGTGCATTTTAATAGTAATGTTGCTCCGTAATGCTACTTAGTTTATACATCTAACCTAGATTAAGACTATCTAAATATATTTTGTACAATATCTTGGCTTCGTTCGACGACGGAACGGCCAGTATTATTATACAGTATTATTATACTGTTACACCACCCAGCCACACTGCCCAACTGTCTCCTGAGTCTCTCGGTCCGAACACATTCCACCAAAACGTGGTAAATAATAATAATAATAATAATAATAAGAGCTTTATTTATCTACATTAAATAATAATTTAGCCTTTAAGTAACATAATCTGAAGTTACACATGTAGTTAAAAAGGCAAGAGTCTCAGCTTGAGCTGTTTTTCAGACTTTACCTTTTTGGTGAAACGCTACATTTAATTCTCTAATATTAATAATATAATAATTCTGACGTGGCTCGACAAGCTCCAGTAAAATGACTAAAGTATACAATTTAAACTTAAAGCTATGATTACATTGTCATAATGGTACCAAATCCACATAAAATATTTCATTTCAAAATACATGAAGTATAGATAAGGATGAACTGCACACATAATAACAATAAATAGTGAAAAATTATAATATATATTTTCACATGTCAGCAGATAAATTGAAATTCGAAAAGATCCGAGTCGTCGAATCATGTGAGGTTATCGACGATATTGACATTGACTTGAACCTCATTGATACAGATTGCCCCCCCCCCC